CCCCCTTAAATAGCTGTTTATTGGCAGTGGGCTGGAAAGGGCGATGGAGTTAGCACACACACCACACCACACACCAACGTCACAAGCGAGGCGGAAGTGATAGGAAAGAGCAGCCTGGAGCCCGGATGAGGCCTCCTCTTCAAGAGTGTGGGACTGGGCGAGGCCTGGAGTGTTGAGGGGGCAGCCTTAGAACACCTCCACTTAGTAGGCATGGTTGGAGATGAAGAGGGACTGGCTGGCTGCAGCCCCGGCCTGGCCGCTTGGGGTGTACTTTCCTTGGCAGGCGAGGCTGTTGGCCTAAGAGGGGAGAGGAGCCAACGTGAGAAGGTCTATTCCCAGGATGCCGCCCACTCCAGCGCTCTGCTCGCCTCCTGCCCCAGCCTCACCAGTGCTCGCTTGACATATTCCTCCTGGGCAGTCTTTAGGTTCTCCTTCTTTCCACCCCAGGCCTTCAGGGCGGAGGCCTGCAGGGCTCGGCCATAGGAGAAGGTCAGGGCCCATGGCTTCAGCAGGGGGCACTTGTTGATCGCATTGAGGTTGATGGATGCCTCCTCCTCACTCTGACCTCCAGACAGGAAGGTGATCCCTGTAAAACAAGGAAGATGTGGGGAAGGGTTGTAGTCAGAGACCCGGGGGACAGGTAGGCATCCCGAGAAGCTGACCCAGAAAATCAGACCAATGGGCCTAAGGATTGTGGGTACAGTCCATCCATGTCCCAGAGGGCAAGGTGAGGGGACGGGGCTCACCAGGGACAGCAGGGGGCACTGTGCGACGCAGTGCAGTGACGGTTGCCATGGCAATCTCCTCATTAGAGAATTTCTGGGTGCAGGCGTGGCCAGGGGTGACCATGTTGGGCTTCAGCAAAGTGCCTTCCAGGTAGATGTGATGGTCACTCAAGGCCTTGTAGACAGCTGCCAGCACCTGGAGCAGAGCAGGACCAAAATGGGCTTGGGGGACAGAGCTCTGTCCTAGGGCCCTGGCCCAGCTGCCCAGCCCCCCGCACTGCCCAGGCAGGCCAGCCACCTACCTTTTCGGTTACATACTGACAGCGCTTCAGGTCATGGTCCCCATCGGGGAGGATCTCGGGCTCCACGATGGGCACAATGCCATTCTGTAGAGTGAGGGACAGGGTAGCAGTGAGTCCCCTAACCGGCAGCCCTACCTACAGTTCTCCTCAGACACTGGCCAAGGTCTTAGCTCCATGGAGACAGAGACTCATGGCTTCAAAGCCCTCAGTTTTGTAGGGATGTAGCAGACAGGAGCTCAGATCCACCCACACGTGCCCTGTCCTGCCCCTCTGCTCACAGGGCCCTCAGGTGTCCTCCTCGGGCCCAAGCCTCATGCTTGGTGCAGATCCAGAAAGGTTGCCTTGGGGGAGGTAGATATCCCAGCAGATGGGTGGCAAGCTAGTGGACACGCTGGAACCCAATGAGGTGGGAGCTAGCCTGTCGGGGATGTGCATGCCCACCTGCTGGCAGATGCTGGCATAACGGGCCAGAACGTTGGCGTTTTCCTTGATGGCAAGGGATGAGGGGGTATGTTCCCCGATCTTTAACACACAGCGCCATTTGGCAAAGTCAGCTCCATCCTTCTTGTACTGGGCACAGCGTTCAGACAGCCCATCCAGCCCTGAAGAAGGGGACAGAGAAGTCAGAGGATGGCAGAAGAGGGCAGGTGGCTCCCACTCACCCTGGGCACCTGGAGGGGCACCGACCTGGGTGGGTTGGTGGGTAGGGCAGGGAGCCAAACAGTTCTCACCTTGGGTGGTAGTCTCGCCATTGGTTCCAGCCAGGGGTACCACACCCTTGTCTACCTGTTGGGATGGAGAGAAGCCATTTCTCATACCCTTTTCTCCTCTAGCACCCCACCCTGCCCCCAACTTTATTTAATCTCTCAAGTGGCGTTTCCTAGTCTGCAAATGTTTTCATTAATTACAGTATCTGATCCTAGGAAGCAGGATACCTGGGGATGTTATTTGACAGACAGCCTGGGCTCCTACCACTTCCTAACTCTGTGAGCAAAACACTTTGCTGCCTTGAGCTTCTGGTTTTTCATCTGTACCATGAGGGTAACAGCTTGCTTTTAGAACTCTGAGGATGACAAACGCGAAGCAGGGCCCCCAGTTTCTATATAGCTTTCCTTACATGTGATCTGGGGCAGACTCTGCCCAAGTCTCCCGGCTCCCAGACCAATGCTCACCTTCCCTACCCCCAGCCTATCCCTCTAGATTTCTTTCCCCCAGACCCATCTCAGATCTCACACCCTGAGGCCCAGCCCCCTTACCTTGATGCCCACAACACCGCCCTTGGACTTGATAACTTGGGGGAAGGGACGCCCATCGTCTGTCTTCTGATAGAGTGTCTCGTGGAAGAGGATAACACCCCCAATGCAGGGATTCACACGGTCGTCGGCAGTCAGCAGCAGCTGGCGGTAGAAACGCCGGTTTTCCTCTGTGTTCTCAGTGCCGATGGACTGCAGCCGCTTGGCGATGCTCCCTGGAAGGGGGCATCCCATGGGCATAAGGGGATCAGCCTGTCATCCCCGACCCTGGGCCCTCCTCCCACTGTGTCCTGTCCGCACCAGTGGACTCATCTGCAGCCAGGATGCCCTTGCCCGGAGCCACGATGCGTAGAGCAATGTCAGACAGCTCCTTCTTCTGCTCCGGGGTCAGCGCTGGGTATTGGTAGGGCATGGTGCCAGTCAGTTCCTAGGCAGAGGAGACAGATTGGGAAGGACTGGTTAGCTGGGTCTTCCCAGGGTCTTCCAACAAGCAGGGCCCCTTGCCTGGAGGTCCGGGCAAAGGTTCCCTACCTCCCCTGCCCCACACCCAGCAGGTCTTAGGGCACTTCTGGTCCCCAGCGCCCCCTTACACCTACTTCCCTATACTAGCCCTGCCTCCTGTACCTTTCCTAACTCTGTTTGTTGCTGGGTGTTGCCCAGCTGAGAGTGGGGTTGCATAATGGAGTCTGAGGTAAAGGAATAGGCCAGAGCCACGGAGAGGTGGCTCATGCAGACGCTGGACCCTTCTGGCTTGAGCCTTGCCATTGGGTCACCTTGCCTAGAAGCGAAGACTGAACCAAAGTAGTAGTTTAGAATTTAGAGGTCACGCATAAAGCAAAAGGCCCAACCTCCTCGTGTGAAAGCACCCAGAGAAGGGAAAGGTCTGTGCTTCACACAGCCACCATGGGCCAGATCTGAGATTAGAACCCAGGTCTTCGGACTGCCATAGGGGTGTTCCTTCCAATCCACCCAAGAGCCTGGAGCTGGGAGGGGCACCAACGCCTCAAGGACATCCCAAGGTCAGGCTTCTCCCCTCAGGGTGGGGGAAGGGCACTAGGAAAAGGGTGTTAAGAAAAACGGTAGGAGATAATCAGAAGCCCAGGAAGGGGCAGCAGAGGAAGCCCAGCTCCAGGCAGAGGAAAGGGGCGAGGTTTGCTGATCTCACTGCTCATGAAGGGTAAACCAAGTGCAGAGGAGAGGCGCCCCACCCCGGCCCCTGAAAAATGCTCCTGTCTGCTCACACCGGCGCAGCTGTTTCAGGCTCAGAATCAAGGTCATCCAATAAAGACAGGCAAAGTGTTAATGGGCATCAGGCGCTGCCAACGGGTGTCCCCTCCTCCTCGTCAGAGGCGCCAGTTTCCCAGGGCAGGGGTCAACCACCCGTCTTCTGAAACCCTGAGGAGGTATAGGAGCTGGCCCCCCACCCCTTGCTGCCTCTTAGGATCCCTGCAGAGGCAAAGGGGCCATAATCCTTTGCACCAGGGGTCCCAGCAAGAAAAGGGGAGGGGAATGGCCCTTCTCGTCCGGCTTCCTCCCCCACCATGAGTCAGCACGCAAAGCCGCCACATTGCGCAGGAAACCCAGGGAGCTCCAGCCCGAGAGGGCTGGGAGCTTGTGTGTGGTGATTGGGGGTGGGGGTGCTGGGACCGGCGTGGCGGGGTCTGTACCGACGACCGACCCGCTAGGCCCCCAGGATCCTTCACCATGGTCCCTGAGCTTCGCACATGGCGAAGGGCGCTCACCTGGCGCAGTAGAGGGGCGAGTTTGCCGCGTGCAGCAGTAGAGGGCGGCGGGCTGGCAAGTGGACCGAGGGAGCGAACGCGGCGATCGTCACTAGCACCCTGGTTCTGCAGCGCGTTCCAGAGGAACGCAGCCTATTCAGCTCCCGAGGGGGAGGCACAGTGGGCAGGCAGGAGGAAGGTGGTGCCCGGCCTTATAAGGACACCGCTCCACCCTCCCCCGGGTTTTTTCCTTTGCAGGGGCCGAGGCTGCCCGGCGTCCAATTGCAGGCGAGGAACTGTGGGAGCGTCCGCCCCTGAAAGGCGAAGCCCGGAGGCGACTTCTGGGCGGGGATGGGGCAGAGAGAACACCAGCCCTCCCCATAACCCTCTCGGACGTGACTCGGGCCACATCCCGCAGGTCTCCGGCCCTCCCTCTCCATTTTCTCCCCGCCTGGCGTGCTCTGTGGCGCCGTGACTCAGCCGGTTTTTGGCACCAGAGGAGGTGGGCGAGGGGGCGGGTGGAGGAGTTAGGGACGACCGAGGTTCAACTTCCCCTCCCAGGCCCGGCCCACCCCAGCTTCCGGCCTGCGCTGATGCAGCGTCTGTCACATTGTCACTGAATCCAGAGCTCGGGCGTCGGCCGGCCTCGCCCGCTGGCTGGACTGGCGGGCTCTGGGGCGCAGGTCCGCCTCTTCCTCTGTCACTAGCCCAGGCGTAAGCGGCGGAGGCAAGGGCGGCGAGTGGACGGACGGACGGAGCGCAAGGAGGCAGCCGGGCTGGCAGTGGGCAGAGGGAAACTGTTCCGGGGTGCCCCAACCGGGCGGGTGTACCCGGCAGGCTCTGGGGTCCGCTAGGGCCAGCCTCGCCTGCCCGAAGCTCCAGCCGCCTCGCAAAGCCGGACCAAGCGGAAAGTGGCCGCCCACGCTCGGCCCTAGCAAGTCTGGGGATGCTGGGCCAGGGTCCCTGCGAACTGTCTCCCTTGGACCTGACGTCCCACTCCAGTATAAAATCCGTCCCGCGCTGGTCAGCCTTCACATACATTCCGAGTCCCTCCATCCTCGGTCTCCCCTCCTAATCCGGACCCCTTCAGCCCAACCCCACCCCAGCTAGGTCCTGATGGTGCCCACCTGCGAGGAGGCCGAAGGAGCGGGCAGAGCCTGGTCAGCAGCGAGTGAGCCAGGCCACACCGGGCTGGGTTATAAGGCAACTCCTGCCCTCCCCCCAACCAGTGTTTCCAACCTTCTCCCGTGACCCTTGCCCTTTCCTCGCCACGGATCCCCTGGCAGGGACCTATATTTAGGGAAACCTGAAGCTCCTGACATTCACTCCAGCCGGGGGCCTAAAGTGAGGAAGAGGGAGGGAACTGTGGGCCTGCCCTATTTTGAGGGTGGAGGGAGGGCCCCCTGCTCACTCACCACTTCAGAGGAAATTTCTTCCTTGGAAATCTAGACTGAGGCCCTCAAAAGGTTGTGAAGAGAAATCAATCTTTGGACAGGGATCTATGGGGAGAGGGGGGAGGGGACTCAGACCCCCCTGGCCCTCCCTGCAGCCTCCTCTGATCTCCCTCCCTGACTGGGCTATCATGGGGGCTGTTAGGATTCTCCGGAGCCCATTTGTTTCGAGGGAGAGCAGATACAGGCACACACATCTCAAAATAACCAAGAGCCCATGGGCCAGGCGTTCTGGGGTCGCCCTACATCCCGATACTGAAGGCCCAGGTTCCTCCCATAATGCTGTCAACAATGTCCCCAACCTCACCTTCAAATAGTTTACTTAGGGAGGGGGAGAGGAGGGCAGGGGGCACCGGCCAGAGCACCAGCCCCTCTCTTGGCCCCACAAGGGGGCTGTAGTCTGGCGGGCCATGGCCAAGAGTCCTGCTCTGCCCGGAGCCAAGGTCTCCACGGCTGGTTTCCAGGCCAGCGAGCCGAGCAGGCCATTTTGGGTTCCAGTGGCCTGGAGCAAGGTGTCCTGAGGCCCCTCAGGGAAGAAGGCAGGTGGGTCCCCTGGGGGCTGGCCGCTCCCCAAAGGGCAGGGACTCTGGGTCCTCATCGGAGCTTGATCTCAAAGCAGAGACAGTTGAGGCTTTGGCAGTCAGGAAGTTGGCACGCGCAGGCACAGTCGCAGAGTGGGCAGCACCGAGGGCAGCGAGGAGCCCAACCCTGAGGGAGAGGAAAGAGAAGTGAGGGGGGTGAGCAGCAGGAAAGGGGACCAGAGCCTGAGGCTGTTGCCCCCTGAGGGGAGAGGGGAACAGAGAGGCCTAGAAAGTCCCACGTGCCCAGTGGAACAGAGTGTACCACCCACTATTCCTGAGAACAAGTCAATTCCGTGTGTTGTTGAGAAATCAGGACGTTGCAAACAACTAAATTCAGCAGCTGGAAGAAATCATTCAGGGGTTCTCTAGTTCTCCCCATGGTATTTTTAAGGAGGCTGAGGACCAGAGAGCAACTGGCCCTGGTCCCACACTAGAATTCGGGGGTCCCAAGGTTCTGCTCAAAGATGGTCTTACGACATCCTCATGGCCCCGTGCACATGAAATTGAAAGTCAGCAGGTAGGGAAGGCACACATCTATTTTCTGTGCCATGATGAAAATCACTTGTCAGTTTCGTAGATGTCTTCCTTGGCATGAGACCAAATTGCAGGAGCTCATGCATCATCATGCATTTCTGGGCACCTCCTCTGTGCAAAGCAGAGACTGCATTCATGAACAAGTTCTTAAAATCTTTCTAGTTTTCTTTGAAAACGGTAATTTACATATTAAAAAGTTTTTTTTACGACTTAAACAGTTACATCTGTTTTAATTATCCAAACCTTGAGTAGGGGGCCTCTTTACAAAAAGAGATGGAAGCTCAGAGAGGGGAGTGATTGCCTAAAGCAGCGGTTCTCAACCTGGGAGTCGCGACCCCTTTGGGGGTCGAATGACCCTTTCACAGGGGTCGCCTAAGACCATCGGAAAACAAAAGATATTTACATTATGATTCATAACAGTAGCAAAATTACAGTTATAGAGTAGCAACAAAAATAATTTTATAGTTGGGGGTCACCACAACATGAGGCACTGTATTAAGGGGTCGCAGCATTAGGGAGGTTGACAACCGCTGGCCTAAAGGAACACAACCAGGGATGCTGCTGAGGAGGCCAGCCTGCCTGCTTTCAGTCCTGAGGCCCCCTCAATCCCAGTGCCTCTGCTTCTTTCTAGGTCTGCAGGGGCAGAGACAGTTCAACTCATGTCTCCACTGAGCTAGCACGGGGACTCACGCTAAACAGTGCATGTTCAATGAATGGATGAACCAAAGCACATCATTTTCCCCTCTTGAGGCAAAGAAGGGAGCTTCTCAGTTCCCGGGAGAAACAGAAGGTCTGTCTTTAAGGGAATAGGAACAGCATGTCCTTAGAGATGGGAAGGGAGAGTGGCCCATTCCAACCCACTCCTCTCGTGCTCCGGGACTGGGGCAGAGATAATCCGAGACTGCTTCGGGCATGGACTAGAGTCAGGCCAAGTGGCCAGACTGGGGCATGCCCAGGATGTGTGACAGAAGCTTGGCTCCTTGAGGCCTGAGGCAGAGCTAGTGAGTCACAGTAGCACAACTGAGACACCTGGCCAAGCCAGGAATAGGGGAATGACCTTTTGAACAGCTGAGATTTCAGGGTGAAATATGGTGTCAGGTGACTAGTGAGACCAGATATCACCAGGGCCTCCAGTGAGAGGGGATCTAGCCTTTGCAGGGAGAGGGGTCTGAATTAGGCTGGAGTTTCTGCAACAGAATTGGCTCCCAAGGAGGAGGCTAGATGTGTCATGGTGGAAGGGAGAGGGAGCAGGGTGGTTTCCTTGTGTTTGACGAGGGTGTGGTTTGGGGCATCTCTGGGGATTCCCAGTCTGGGGATGAAGTGGGCTCTGCGGGTTTCTGGAGGACCACACTGTCATTCTGTGCACAGAATTAGTGGCTGAGGGCGGCTCCGCTGCCCTCACCTCAAAGAGGGCATTAAAAGCATTTCTTGGCTTTGTCCATTGGAAGGGTTTAGAGCTGGTCATTAATAACTGCCTAATGGATTTCCCGACTCTCACAGGCAGCCAGGTGGCTTCTGGAAGGAATTTGCTGTTTAAGTACATTAAACAGGATGCCACAAGGCTGTTAACCCTTATGTTTCTCTAGGCTCTGCAGCTTTTCACTTGGGTTTCTTCGGCTTTGATTCTGTGAAGCCAGCCATCTTTACCGGTTAGAGCTCAGGCCCAGCTTGGAATAGAATTCAGGCCCAGGCTTGGCTCATTCACATTTCGAGCCTCGGGTTCCTCATCTCGGAACCCACTTATAAGGTCATTGTGGGGAATCGGTGGAAAGAACTAAACACGATGCCTGGTGCATAGTGAGCAGTCAATGAAATGGAGCTGTTCTTGTTGTCACAGCTCTTTCCTCTTAGTAGGGTTTCTGCCCCTGGTGTGGGGCAGGATCATGGGAGAGCTTGTTAAAGAGTCCCACAATCCAATCCCATCCCAGACCTGCTGAGTGTGGGACCTGGATGCCTGGCTTTCTCTTTAAGCCACATCCCTGCTTCTGACCACACGCAGGGATGAGAACCAACCATGGCACTATAGCATATCAATTCTCACACTCTATTATAACTGCCTACTTATTTCTCTCCGTTCTTCACTGGAATGCAAGCCCCGTGAGGGCTGGGACTAGGTCTTGTTTATCCTGAGCCCTTGAGGCCCAGCACAGAGCCTTAACCATGACTCCATAAATCTTTGGTTAAGTGAATGGATGAATTAGGTCCTCATGACATACCCGTGAAAGAAACATATCAAGCAGGTTTCTCCCCCAGAGAGGAAGAAAAGCCTGGATTTGTGTCCTGGCACAGGTCTCAGGCAAGTCACTCAAGCCTCTGTAAGCTTCAGTTTCTATGGCTGGGAAGTAGGTGAGAACTTTGTAATATTTGCGGTTGTCACTGTTATTAAGGAAACTGAAAAATGGAGACTTGAACGCACCAACGCCAGCCAGCCCAAGTCATGAATGCGCTTGATCTTTGATCCTCACTCTTCCCTCCTTGGAAGGTCACCATTTCAAGGGCAGCAGCTTTGCGGTCTAAATCTCCGAGCCCAAAATAATCATGGCCCAAGAAGGTGGTCGATTACATTGAACGTCTTTAAACCCACAAATGCAAAACGGGCCTCTCCTCTGTGGGTCAGGCTTCTCCCTGGGGACTCTGTTCCAACGCCACCATGGAGCAATTTGCCACGCAAGACTCTATGGCGTAATACTGGAGAAGTGATTAAATGTCCCTGAGCCAACTTATTCCCCTGCAAAGGGAAGATAAGAATACTTACCTATCTACATACACCGGCATGGACAGGTGGCCAAGGCATGATGTCAAATTATAAAGGGCCAAGTAGCAGTTGTGATGAAATAGTGTATGTGGTATGACCCCTGTTTACCGAGTAATAGTAAAATATGGCAGTGATTGTACTGTGTATTAGTAGACGAGGGACATAAACAAAATGTAGCAACCTTGGTCAGAGAGCTGGCTTATAAAATGCCTTTGGGGCTGGCCGAGTGGCACGTTGGTTAAGAGCTGGCTTGGGACGCCAGCTCTGAGCAGCAGGACCCCGGTTCGAATCCCACATGAGGGCCAGTGACACTGCCCTCTACAGCTAAGATGGTGAACAACAGCTTGACCTGGAGCTGGGCTGCCGTGAGCCGCCGGCGATGGCGTAGGCTGCAGCCCCTGCTGCAGCGGGCTGCCATAAGCTACTGCATGTGGCCGGCAGCCAGCGTGAGCGGCTGGCAGCTGGTGTGAGTTGCCAAGAGCCACCGAGAGCGGCCGTCCAGAGGCCGGCGACCGATCTGCCTCACCTGGGAAGAGCGCAATGATAATATCAATATGGGCCAGTGAAGTGATGTTCTTCACAACTAGACTGAAGAACAAAAGGACAGCAACTTGTCTGTTTCCCTTCCCCGATTCCCCAACGCTGTTCCCCTCCCCCAATTCCCCAATAACATCTTTAAAAAAATAAAAAGATAAAATGCCTTGGGCCTTCTGTGTATCTCTACACACACCCTTTGTAATCAGTGCTTTTTGTAATCAGAAAAATATATATATACAGGTGTTTCTTAAATACCCAGCTCTCAGGGTTGTTGGGGGAATAAGGTCAATCAAGTGACACAGTATCGGGAACACAACATTCACTCAATGAACAGAAAAGCTCTGGGAGAAGTTCTGGGGTTTTTTTTTAACTACTGTTTTCAGAAGTGATTATATGCCCTACATGTTACATACATCACTTTTCTCCAGCAGCCACCCTGTTTTCTTTTCACCGGCTTCCATCGTTAGGAAGTATCTGATATGTTGTTTATGTTGTTTTTGGCTGTCTCCACCCGACCCAGTACCTGGAATTGGGCCTGTTCTAGAATAGGTGCTGAACAATAAATGTTGGACCAAAAAATGAATGCACAGGTAGTGCCTATATCAGGGCCCAGCAGGCAGGGGACAAGCTTGGAACTCACAGCTTCCGTTGGCTGAGGGCAGCAGGCATCCAGGCAGTGGGCTGGGCTGGGCAGAGGGAAGTTGCAGGCTTCTGCACAGGCCCAGCAGCAGTCTTGCGTCCTGGAGGCACCTTGTTTCCTGCAGGGGGAGCTGCAGTTGGCACAGCAGCCCTGGGCCTAGGAGATGGCAGGGCTCAGGATCTGGGCCAGCAGGCAGGTAGGAACAGCCATGGTTCACTTTGGGGGAGACGGGCAGGAGGGGGTTCGGCAGGGAACAGCAGAGGAGGACCTTTCTGGTCCCACGAAAGGGACAGATGCGGGCGCTAAATGGCAAAGGAGTCTCAGGGTCAAGGCCTGCAGATGAGGGCACAGATCAACCGGTTCCTTTTCCCCAGAGCCCACCCTCAGCCCCCACGAGGCCCCTCACCAGCAGGCAGTGCCTAGTCAGCAGCACTAGGCCCAGCAGCAACAAATAGATGCCCACCGCGATGAAGACGATGGCGGGGATGGGGAGCAGCAGGGAAGGACTGCTGACGGGAGCTGGGGTTGGATTCCGCAGGCTAGAGGAGGCCTAAATAAGCACAAGAGAAAGGGGTGACAAGGAGGTGGGAAGGGCTGCAGGAACACAGAAATATCAGGAGGCGCTCGGAGGAGGCTGGAAAAAGGGACGGAGCAGACACCAGCCGGTGGGGACAGAGTCACTGGGACTACACTCTCTTGCCCCCCAAACCTGCCTTTACCCTATTATCCCCATTTCAGCACCATAAAGGGTGTGTGTGTTGGTCATTCTAGACTTTACCAAGACTTACTGAACTTCCTTTCACAATGTCTCTCCAAATGGACCTATTGTCTCTGACTCTATCATCCCTCAGCCAACATGACTGCCCCTTAACGGTCTTTCAACCTGCAGTTTCGCCCCTTCCCATGTCAGCTGTCCTCGTGTATCCCTCCCTTCCTTACAATCCACCAATGGCTCCCAGGGACTCAGTCCAAACTTCTTATCTCCATGACCAAGGCCCTGGTCCAGCCCTGCCTGCCTCTCCCTCCACATTCCAGCCACACTAAAGTCCTAGGAGCTCCCAAATGCCCTATCCCCTCCCTCACCCCCAGGTCTCTGCCCACGTTGTTCCCTCTGCTTGGAGTGCCTTTTCTCCTTGATTACTTGGCAAACTCCTCATCTTGCCAGGGAGAGTGGGAAGTGCCCTCTCATGGGAAGTTCGTCCCTGGCATTCTTTCTCAAAGTTCTTGCCCTGAGCTGGAAGGCTCTGTGTTGTGGAAAGAGCCGCCTCTCCAGGTCTTCCTGAAGGCAGGCAGCCAGAGTGAATTTTGGGGCGCTAAGGGGGCCGCTCCAGAGCCTTAGGGGTAAGGGGCCTGGGACTCACGTCCATGGGGCAGGACAGCGCCAGTCCGTTCAGGAGCTGCAGAGGAGAGAAAGTCCAGGGCCTCAGAGGCTGAGACGGGCTCTTGGACTGGGGTGCCCACTCTCTTCCTCCCACTTCCCGTTTGGGGAAACTGAGGCCCAGCGATGGCCCCTGGTCCAGGCAGTCGGGATCGGGGATTCGAGGACTGCAACTCCCTCGCAGGCCCCAGACCGACCAGACCCCTCTGCTGTCCCCATATCCCAGCTGCCCCATCGATCCAACCGCATCACCTGCACCCTCGGGGCCGAGGGCAGGTCCAGGATTCCGCGCCGTGTTGGGTTCAATCTGCGGCGGCGGCTGCACAGTCCAGAAACCTCCCGCGGCTTCCTGCTGTTGGCATGGCGACGGGGCGCCGCTTCTACGGCGGCCGCCGAGGCCCAAAAACCCTTCTCCCCGCTTCCCTTTTTTTCCGCGGGTTCCCTGCGCCCACCAGCTCTTCTCGGGCGCAGTTCCCCGGTTCTCCCGCCATTACTGAACCGAAATGGCGAATTCCCGCCGGCACCCGCCTGGGTCGGCTTTTGCGGCGCCACAAACGGAAGACTGAACCCCTGGGGGTACACCACCGACGTGCCGTGTGACTTCCGCCAAGTCACAGAGTCCATTTCCTCCTCTGCATAAAACGGAACCGCCTCCTTCACGGGGGATAGTGTAAAAATCAAAGCTACAGGTTAATTGTCTTAAAGGATCCTCGATTTTATTTTAACCTGACCCCACTCATTTCTATTGACAGTGCCCTAATTGAAGATTTCATCATCTGATTTCTCCTACCTCCACATCCTTGTCAAAGTGATTTTCTGCCACCCACGGATCTTGTTCCTTGGCTATTTTTAAACGTCAGAAGGCTCCCCCACGGACTCCAGGGTAAAGCCCACGTGCTTTAGCTGACTGTCAGCCCTTCCAGCCTGGGCCCTGCCTACCTTACGTGGATCCAACCCCAAACAGATCCCAAGCACTGCTCTAGGCTCCGGGTCTCTAGTGGAGAATAAGGCTGACAAACATCCTCCCTCGTGTAGCTTATATCCCACTGGGGGAGGGGGAATCAGATACTATGTAAACAAATAAGGTGGTTTTGTGCCCCATCGGTTCTTTCAGGCTTCCACCAGAGGGTCTGTTCAAGGTTCCTGAATCTGTGTGTGGGGTTTCACAGCTCATACCTTCGCAGATGCTGTTCCCTCTGCTGAACTCCTTCCTCATCCTTCAGGCCTCCGCTCAGTTTTGCCTCAGGGAGGTCTCTCCCTGCCAACCTCAGGGCCCGGATACATACTGCTTTTCTAGCACTTGACCACAAAGTATTTGAATCCTCCACTTCAGTGCCTGGCTCTCCAGTCAGACTTGCAAAGGTCTGGGTGGGATTCATGTCCATATCCTGAGCCCTAGCACTTGGCCTGGCCTTGGGGCTTCCAATGAGTACTCACTGATTCTATGAATGAGTCGAATCCAGCTCTTGCCACCGATGAAGTGTCCTTATCCAGATGCCGATGAAGTGTCCTTATCCAGATGCCCTAGTTCCCAGAGCTCACAGGCAGTCAAGGCACTCAGACCTCCCACTTTTGTTCCTGACCTTTTTGCTTCGACACAGACGTGCTTGCATTTACCCCGGAAAGCACTGCGGCCGTATACCCACTTTGGCCCATGTCCTCCACCTCATTGGACCTCACCTCAGCTGCCGCCCCTGGGGACTGCCTCCACTACGAGGCAGCCACAGAAAGTGCCAGGGTCTGTGCCCCTGGGTCCCATATCTCCCCTCTTACCTTCAGCCACACTGAAAGGTCCCTGCCACCTCCTGTGCCACCCCCAGCCCTCTCAGAGGGGGCTTCAAGCTCAGAACACAGGAGTCTAGCTGTCCTCAGTGTTACCATCACTGAATCTAAGGCAGGGTCAGATTGCCTCATGAGGCTGTCTTCTTATCTACCCCCATCTTCTTTTCAGAATCCCAAGGCCCACATTGAGGCCAGCCCCAGGAAAGGCCTCAGGTGACACCTACTCCCTCCCCTCTCTTCAGCTCCTGCCAACACCCGAGAGGTGAGTCTTGGCAAGGCTCTGGCCACGTCCACGACCTACAGTGGTCACACTCACCGCCGATGGTATTTCGTTCCTACCAGGGGCTCATACATTATGCAGGAGGGTGGACAGTGCACAGGGCCTGCTCATGGCAAGGCAAGCCAATAGGAGGGCTGACGTATGCACCCCACTTTTGCAGGGCCCCATTTCTTCCCACATCACACCATGTGTTGGAGGCAGGGAGAAACTGACTTCACAATGGCTGGATAACCATCAGATCTCCCTCTACCTACAGTTCAAAGCTGGAGACGTCAGATAGCATCACATGTAGTTTTGCACTGCCCCCTGGGAAAGAGAGAAAAGGGGTATGGCCTCCCAGTCATCACAGGGTGGGTGGGAGACCTGAGATGACAGAAAGCCCAGAAGATGAAAGAAGCCTTAGCAAGCCTGGGCTGGGCTGTGGGAAGGGATTCTGGCAGTTCTGATCTGATCTCTCACTTTCAGCCCCTCCTATGGGCCTCAGACAATATTACCTCCCAGAGATGAAGAGGAAGTTCAGCAGCCTCCTCATTATGAAAATGAAAGGCTTGTGCTTAGGTAATAACCCTGGGGGAATAAGAAGCTAAGCTGAACTGAGCTCCAGCAAAGCATCAGTGAGAGGCCTCTCTGTAGACTTTGTCTTTATTTAATCTTGACAGTAGACCTGAGTGGCAGAAACCTTTTTTTTTTTTTTTCCTCATTTTTTAGATGACAAAGAATTATGGCCCGGTTGAAAAAAAATTTTAGAACTGGGTAAGATCCAGATTTGAATTCTTGTTCTGCCCCTGTGTGTCTGTGTGACCTTGGGCCCACTCAGCCTCAGTCTTCCTTATCTAGAAAGTGGGAATTCCGTAAGAGATTCTCAGGGCTCCCTGTAATGATTAAAGAAAATGTAGGTAGAGTACCTGGCATAGAACAAGGGCTCATTAAAAAGTGTAACAACAGCAACTCTTAATGACTATTACAAGGAGTATTCACTACATGCTGCATGGTAACAGAGCTTTGCACATATCTTATCAGTCATCCCAGCAGCCTTATGGAGAGGCACTGCCCTTGTCCCCACTTTTGTCCCTAAGGCTCAGAGGCTTTAAATGACTCGCACAAGTTCTCTTGACTAGTGAGTGACAGAACTAGGATTTCAGCCCTGGCAATGGGACTTTGTGTGTCTACAGCTGAGGCTCAGAGAGGTTCTGACACTTGATCAAGGTCACACAGCCAATCGATGGGAGAAAAAAGGGCCTGGACCCTACGTTTTCTGACTCCAGCTCACCTGTGGTGCCCCTCGGCTTTTTCTGTTGCACAGCTAAAGGGTGGGACTGGACTGGTTTGGAACAGCACCTAACCTGGGACAGGTACAATTAAAGCACTAAATAATAAATGCTCCAGCTGGCTGGCCAGGACTCTCCCCAGAGAACAGAGGGGGAATCGGACCCCTCCCTGGGTATCATGTGGGAAACAGGCCACTTCTGGCTGCTTATTGTTTACTTATTCACAGCCTTCGATGATATCACCCTTGCACACCTCTGCAGGGCCCCAGCGGCGCTGGCTGCACCAGGTAAAGAGGATGCGCAAGACAGCATTTGGACGGGGGAGCCTGAAGTAGCAGGAAACGGTAAACTTCAGGCCCAGGGTAAATTGTGTGATAAGTGTGAGGAACGCGTTGGAGTGAGACACCCACCTGGGGGAGCCAGGCTGGGGTGGCAAAGCAGGCTGCCACAGGGCGAGCCTGGATGAGCACTTGGGCAGCGCCACCCCGACGGTGACCCTCTCCACGCGGACTCTGCCGCCTGCTTACCGTCGGCAGGTGGAGCGAGGGCCCGCGCCCCTACGCCACACTGACTGGCCTGCCTCCCTTCCCCGGGGGATGTTCCGACACTTCCAGAACGCCCAGACAAGGGACCACGGTATGCAGAATGCATGCCATCTTGGGTTTATTTTAGGCGGTACACGCATCAGCAAGAAAGCACGCCCGCACACACGCAAGCTATTCTTTCCAACTCTCTTTCAACACTTCTGATTATCCCAGGAGAAAGTATCCTTTTGCTGCCAAAAGCCCTTTAACACCTCTCTATCCTTGCTTATCTTGTCTTTTTTTTCTTCTTCTTCTTCTTTTAACAGAGAGCAGGCCTTCAGCTAAGAATTTGGAGCAAGCCATAGATAGTATCTAGCTAGAATGTTAGAACAAGTTTTTTTTTTCATTGTACAATATTTATTTTTTGTTACCTCCCATTGACAACAAGTGATAATAGTTTCGACAGGATAAAAAGTTTCCTTTTAAAAAGCACATGATTAAAAGCAGGTCCTCTGGAAATCAACTACTAGGTTCAAATCCCAGGTGTGACACTTACTGCCTGTGTGACTTTGGGCAAGTGACATAACCTCTCAGTGCTTCAAGTGCCTCATTTGTAAAAGAAAAGTAAAAATGGCATCTCCCTCTTAGGTTATTATGAGGATTGCATTGGTTAATAAAATATATGTAAAGGGCATAGATTGGTGCCTGACATCTAGTAAACACTGTATAAATATTCATTATTTTTACATCAAACAGGGAGAAAAACCAACAACCTAACAGAGAACACCTCTTTGGGACCAATCCCACCATTTTTCACGTGAGGAAACAAAGCTTTGGAAAAGATAATTAAGCAGCTAAGCTAGGACCTTGATAGGTCTCTGGATTCCCAATCCATGTAACCAGCCATTTCGATTCTCAATAATTCATGTAACTTCCCAGCCCTGGTTGGTTCATCTGCAGAGTGGGACTAATACCATCTCATTGGATGTAGGGATGGTGTGTAAAGGCTCAGAAAATGACTCTGTGTGTCTCTAATGCATTCTCCACAGGGGTACTATTGCCCTCAAGGGGGCAAAAATTGGTTCTTAGCCCCGGGTGGGGATGGGGGGCAAAAAAACTTACTTTTTTTTAAAGATTTTTTTTATTGGGGAATTGGGGGAAGAGGAACAGACAAGTTGCTATCCTTTTGTTCTTCAGTCTAGTTGTGGAGGACTTTGCTTTACTGGCCCAAGTTGGCACCATCATTGCGCTTTTCCTGGGCGAGGCAGATCAGTCGCCGGCTTCTGGACGGCTGCTCACTGTGGCACACTGGCTGCTGGCTACACATGGTAGCCCATGGCAACCCACTGCAGCAGGGGCTGCAGCTGCAGCCTATGCTGTAGCCAGCGACTCATAGCAGCCCAGCTCCAGGTTGAGCTGTTGTTCAGCATCTTAGCTGTAGAGGGCAGTGTCACTGGCCCTCATATGTGGGATCTGAACCGGGTCCTCTGGCGTCCCAAGCCAGCTCTTAACCAATGCACCACTCGGCCGGCCCAAAACTTTTTTAATATACCGTATTTCTCCATGTATAAAACACACCTTAATTTGGGGCTCAAAATTTGAAAAACAATGTATTACATAAAATTATTGAACTCAAGGTTTTTTTTGTTTGTTTTTTAAAGATTTTTTTTTTAATTGGGGAATTGGGGGAAGGGGAATAGACAAGTTTCTGTCCTTTTGTTCTTCAGTCTAGTTGTGGAGGACGTTGTTTCACTGGCCCAAGTTAGCACCATCATTGTGCTCTTCCCGGGTGAGGCAGATCAGTCTCTGGCCTCTGGACAGCCACTCATGGCAGCTGCTGGCCTCTCACACTGGCTGCTGGCTACATACGGTAGCCCATGGCAACCCACTGCCACAGGGGCTGCAGCCTACGCTGTCGCGGGCGACTCACGGCAGCCCAGCTCTAGGTTGAGCTGTTGTTCAGCATCTTAGCTGTAGAGGGCAGTGTCACTGGCCCGCATATGTGGGATCTGAACCCGGGCCCTCTGGCGTCCCAAGGCAGCTCTTAACCATCGCGCCACTTGGCTGGCCCTGAGCTCAAGTTTTATCATCATAAAATTCATACAACTTCTCATCACTGTCAAAAAACTACAACCACTGTATAAGACGCACCCAGTTTTTAGACCCCAAATTTTTCGAAAAAGGGTGCATCTTATATATGGGGAAATACGGTATAAAGCACAGATATACAGTATATCTTTTTCTTCAAAATTTCATGAGGAGTGGGGATTAGGAAACAGAATGTCTAAAAAAGTTTCCTTAGGAGAGCAATAATGAAAAAAAAATATTGAGAAATGCTGCTCTAAACCAAGATTTTTTCCAATTTGGGTTGTTACTCACAATGGGTTGTGAAATTGGCTTAATGGATCATGACCAGCATTTGGGGAGAAAAAAGTGATCCAGAAAATGCCACAGTGCACTGGACATAAAGGTCAGGAAGTCTGGTGTGAAAGTGTGGATGCACATGCTGAGTCAGGACATAAAATGTTCCCTTGGGGGTCACTGTGAAAAAACGTTGCAAGCCATTGCTCTAAACAACGATTTTTCTTTTTCTCCCCTGATCCTTTATCTCTCAGACAAGACCGCGCAGCTTTGGACTAGTGGATGAAATTGGTAACAAAGGGAGGAAATGTAGGAGACAGTCCAGATTCCAACGAAACTGGGCCCTGACCTTCCCCAGCTCATGGCCAGCCTCTATCCCTCCTCATCTGTATTCCAGGGTAAGCCACAGGAATAGGGGAAAATGACTGTCCCCCGGCACCAGAGGGGGAAGTATCTCCCACTTTTGCTGCCACTTTTGATTCCTTCCTCTGCTTCTCCCTTTCTTCCTCTCCTTTCTTCTCCCACCTCAGAAGGCAGCAGTAGGTTGGTTGACACGAGTCTGAGTCCTACGTCTGCCTTTTACTATTTAATCTTGGGCACATCATCTCACTTCTCTGAGCCTCAGTTTTATCAGCTGTATAATGGAGAGATTAGTCATAAGATTGTAGTGACCCTCAAATGAGAGAATGTATATGAAGTATATTAGTATTTTAGTGCCTTCTGTACCGCAGGTACGACAATAGTACAATATAATAGTTACCAGGCCAAGAACCCTGGGTAAACTAGCTTATACATGTTATCTCTGTTTAATCCTTGAAATGAGCCTGCGCAGGAGCTGGGAAGGGAACAGGGCAGACTCCAGACAGAAGGCCTGTTTTCAAGCCTCAGTTCAGTATCTTTTCATATGTTTCAGCACATCTACATGTATTTCTTTGTGGCTACATTGACTCCCTTTCAAAAAGGAGCTTTCCTCATCGCCCCACAGGATGACGTCTGTATACACCTCAGATTGGCCAGACCTCTCACTGCAAGGGAGGCTGGGAAATGTAGTTGTTTCTTTCTTTCTTTCTTTCTTTTTTTTTAAAGATTTTATTGGGGAATTGGGGGAAGGGAACAGCGTTGGGGAATGGGGGAAGGGGAACAGACAAGTTGTTGTCCTTTTGTTCTTCAGTCTAGTTGTGGAGGATGTTGCTTCACTGGCCCATGTTGGTATTATCATTGCGCTCTTCCTGGGTGAGGCAGTCGCTTGCTGGCCTCCGGACGGCTGCTCACAGCGGCTCTTGGCAGCTCACACCAGCTGCCAGCCGCTCACAGTAGCTTACGGCAGCCCACTGCAGTGTCACTGCAGCCTACACTGTCGCCAGCGACTCACAGCAGCCCAGCTCCAGGTCGAGCTGTTGTTCACCATCTTAGCTGTAGAGGGTGCAGCATCACTGGCCCTCATGTGGGATCCGATCCGGGGTCCTGATCTCAGAGCTGGCGTCCCAAGCCAACTCTTAACCAATGCGCCACTCGGCCGGCCCATTTCATTTTTTTTTTTTAAATAGGCCCAACAAAATAAGGAAGCCAGTGAGAATGGATACCGGTTAGGCAACTGGAGGCCTCATCTTCAACAATCTTTTTCAACCTTTAATTTAATTTTCAGAGGCCTATCTGAAAAAAGAGTAGCTAAGGAAGCAAGAACAATTAGCAGAGATAAGCTCTGAAAATGTGACTGACAATGTCTAAACTGTATTCAAAGATGTTTTGTTTCTTTTTTTTTTTAACCTTTCAGTCCCTTTAGGAAAATGAATTTATGAATTTTCTAGATCTGTTTGATATTATAGAAACCAACACATTTGCTAGTATTGGTGGGATAGGAAATAAATAATGGGCAAAAAATCCTACCTCATTCACTTTCTGACTGTGTAACCATGGACAAAGTATCAATGATCTCCATGCCTCTGTTTTCTCATCTGTAAAATGGGTAGAATAATAATCCTTACCCACAGTGGTATTTTGAGGAAATGACTTAATGTTTTTAAGCCCAGAGCAGTGTCCCGCCCACAGTAAGTGCTATTATAAGTAGCATTTAATGAGCTGGTATTATTATTTCTCCAACTTCACAGATAAAGAATTGAGGCCCACAGAGATTGGCCCACCATCATTCAGGGAATAGAAAAGGCTACATTTCTTCAGCATTTAAAAACTCCTCACTGACTTTAAATAAAACGCACAGATTTTAAGAGAATGCCTTGAGAACGTTTACATATCTATACATCCGTGATCAATACAAGGGCATTTCTTTATATCAGGCTCAGAAGGCTCCCCAGGGTCTGCTCTCAGGCAATACCTTCCTCCAACTTAAATGTTGTTTTGATTTTTCACTGAAGATAGTTTGCCAGTTTTGAACTTCATCCAAATGGAACCATACAGAATGTTTCTTTTATTATCTGCAGAGTCTGAATTCCAGATGGTCCCACCCTGGAATCTGCCTTCTAAGCTATTATCCTACAACTGCCTTTTAAAGCAACAACTACTCAACACTGTTCCTATTTTTTCCCTCCCTCCTCTTCCTTTCCCCTCTTTCAGCTCCGCCCCTGAAATGCAGCTGTCAATCAAGCCATCTACACATTCTAATTGGCCAATTCTGCACTTCAGAGCCGGCCCCTCTGCCAGGAAGCATATGATAGGGCACGTATGTTAAGAGGTGGACCAATGGGAGGATGGCATAATCCAAACCTGCCGCCAGCCTGCCAATGGAAGGGTGATGTTCTCATCCTCCCTAACTGCCTCTGCAAAGCAGTCTGGGCCTCGTGCCTATGCAGTTTGACACCTTCCTTGTATCCTGAGGAGGTCCACTCAGAGTCGCTTAAAGGGTGCAAGATGGCCAGCTCTGACTCCCTACATCCCTCCTGGGCCCCCTCTACTCCTCCCCTCCCTGGAGTGTACTGGAGGTGAGGCTTTTCAGACAAAAAGAACATATGTAAATATGTTTTCAGTGTTCTTCCTTTTTAAAAAAAAATGGGATAATGCTTTGGGGTTTTTTTCTTTTTAAATAAATAATACTTTTAAATTTCAAATATTTTTATGATTTAACCCCCCCCCCTGCTTTTCTGAGTTCTGGATGCTAATGAGAACCAGCCTCCCTCTCTAGCCTCTCCTGGCCCCTCAGAGGTGAGAACCTAGGAGAAGGGAGAGGTGCCATGAATAGCTTTGGGCGGTGGGGTTGTAGAGGGCGCAGTGGGGTGAAGTTAGGAAGAGCAGGCACATCAGCAGGGCGGAAGGAGAAAAAAGGAATTTTAAGGTGTGAGATGGCCAGGGAGGCGTAGACTAGCTTTAGGGGTTGGAGGAAAAATGTAATTGTTGAATAGGATCCCCAGTTGCCCCGGATAAGGGATACTTAAAGTATAGTAAGGATCCCAAAGAGATTAGGGAAGAGCTATGCCTGGTATCTCTTGATTGTTACAGATAGATGGGTCCCATGGGCCACTGAGCTATGGGGGTGAAGGAACACTGTGCTGGGGCATTCTCATGGCCGTCTTTTCTCACCTTTTCCACCCCAGATGGGCATGACCCTGCTCTTTGTACTGGGCTGCATCTTCTTCCCGTTGATCTTTGCTCTCCTCTGCTGGTGCCTGCAGAACCACTCTCACCTGAGGATGGAGAGACCAGAGGCTGTTTTGGTGGCGTCCAAGTAAGAGGACGGGGTGAGGGCATCTTTCCTGGGGCCAGGGCTGGTAGAGCTGACCTCCTACTTTCAGGAAGAATAGTGGTAAGAGCAGCAG